GCATGAGCAAGAAGCCAAACAGGAACAGCAAGGGAGGGAGGAGGTTGAGGTGGCATGGGACACACAGCTGAGCCATACCTCGTGCTGCAGGTACATCACAGCAGGTATCTGAAGTCTCACAGATGGCCAGGGCAGCGCCCTGCTTTCCTGGGGCTAAGGCTTGGTAGCCAAGCCCTCCCAGCGATGCAAAACAGCCATGGGGCTCTGGCAGCAATGGCGAATTCCGGTGTTCAGCTGCAGGATGCAAGGCAGAGAGCTGTCTCACAGCATGTGCTGGGACACCTCCTGTCCCCGTCCCCCGTACCCCAGTCAATACCAAGCCAGAGAGGTGTGGTGTGGGGTGAGCCCCTCCCTGCTGTGGCACAGCTGGGCATGGCCATGGCTTAGCCAGAGCCGAGCTGGCACTGCAGCCTGGGCACAGGCTTTCCCCGTGCTCCTGCCACTCGTGCTGTGACACAGCCTGAGGTGGAAAAGGTTATTTTTACTGCGTCTTTGCAAAGCCGCTCACAACCGACGCCGCAGGAAAGGGGTTGCGTGTTTGATTGCTGTTCCTCACGTTCCTGGAAAGAGGGGCCAGCGCGAGGCGGGCGCTGTGCCGCAGGACCATGAGTTGGGATGGCTGGGCTCACCCCCTGCCTCTGCTTGAGGCTCTTGGGAGAGAAACTGGGCCAAACCACTTCCCTATGAGATGCTTGGCTTCCAGCTGAGCCACACGGCCAAAACTGCTAACCCTGTCCTTGGTTCTCCATTAGCTTCGTGCCGTATTGCCTGCTCAGCACCAACCGTGCTCAGAGCTGGCTGGGAGTGCTGCTACCTTGTGGCCTCACCCCACAGGCTGAGGGATTCCAGCCTGTGCTGGAGGCAAGGCTCCCCTTCAGCATGGGCTGGGGTGGCAGTGACTTTAGCTCTTTCTCATGTCCAGGGTACAGCAGCTCTCACCAGAGGGACTGACTCTCTTGCGATGGGGTTGGACCTCCCACTCGAGGCTCTGGGACACCTCACGCCCAGTCTTAACAGCTTGTGGTGCTCCAGGTGTGTGGGATAAATGTGCAGTGGGCCTGAGGAACTCCATAGCTCATTGGGCTTGTTGCTCAGTGGGAAAGGAGCCCCGGATTTGCCCTGAACAAGTAGAAAGACCCTCTGAGCTCTCTGTTGAGGTGCTGGCTGGAAGGGGGAACACATCCGTTCCTGAGGCTGGGCCTGCATTTACACCAAAAACTGATGTAAACCAGCAGCTCCAGGACTTGGGCTCCAGCAGTGAAGGCCCTCAGGAGCCTGCTTCATCCCCAGGCATCAGTGAGTGCTGGGTGTCTCCTGCTCACATCCCAGGAGCGCTGCAGCCCAGCAGAAGTTCTGTTACCTGTCTGCTCTGACAGGAAAGGAACTGGCCGCTTTAGGTCCAGCAGCAGAAGAGCTGTGGAACGGGCTTTCCCTGCTTGGCAGTACATGCAACGAATCCGTATGGTCCATGTAGTCCTCACTGCTCGATGCTGTTCAGCTGCAGGCTGTGTGCACAAGTCCAGTGGGTGATGCTCAAGGCAAATGCAGAGTGAGCTCCACACAGGAAAGTGGGAGGTGCCAAAATACAAGTCCAGAAATGGTGGGAGGCCATGGAAACCTGTATTTTCATGTAAGAGTGCTTAGACAAGAAGGGGCAGAGCCTGGTACAATTCCCTCTCGTGTCATAGAGACCAAAACGCCTATTCCCCACTGCCTCACAATGGCCTGCACCACCAGGCATAAGATGTTCTGCAGACAGGTGCCTCCAGACAAAAATGTTGAAGTGCTTCTACTTCAGAGAGGAAAATGAAGCACTTGCTGGCCCAGAGAAAAAGCCTCTCTAGTGACCAAACATCCCTGCGCCCTTTGGAAAGTTCTCCTAGCCCTGCTCCAGTTTCACAGACAAAAGCCAAGCACGCACTGGAGAACAAATGGGATCCAGATCTCCTCTCCCTCATGCGAGTGCTTTTATCATTAGATTACAAGGTCCAAGTCATTCTTTCCTTCTCATCTGATCTTGTCCCCGGAACATGCAGATTAAGGGGCTCAAGTGGTCTTAACGCCCACACTTCTTGAAGGCCAGAGTCCTGCATCCTCTCCCCAGCTTCACACCTGCCGGCGTACGTTACAGACAGGGGAGGCTGTTGCTGCTTCTCATCAGCTTTTTCTTAGTAGCACAAGCTGCCCAAACCCCAGGACAGAAGCTTACGGGTCAAGGATTTCTGGCACTCTGCTGCTGTATCAAATAAGGGTTTATGTGCAGGATCATACGTTGCATGTTGGCAGAGATTCACTCGAACGCTCCAAACCCCCCTGAATGCTGGGTGGGGATCGGAATGGAAAGGCCGCAGCCCGAGTGTCCTCCAGCTTCTTTCTGCCTCTGGATTACAGTCTTCTTCCCTGTCCTCACTCTGATGAACGGTGTCCTGCTGTCACACAGTTCCCTCAGATACTAATTTCAGAGGAATTGTGAGCTCCTGGTGGGAGCAGTCGCTCAGGCAGAACAACCACCTTGATTGAATGCACCGAAGGAAATTGGAAGTTCTATGGTTACTTCAAAGTTGCATTAGAAAAGACCTCATTTTCATTGTCATTCCCCGCCTGCTGTGAAATATTATTATAGAGCTTAATGTCATCTTCACCGTTTCTTTTCCTTTTTCTTCTTTCAAACAACTAAGCAAGTTGAGCTTGGGGAAGACTCAGTTACTTGGAGGTGGTGTTGGCAATATCTACTTCCAGACTGGCTTCTTGTATAAGCTGCAAGGGGCCTGGCACATGTCATTTTACTCTAGGACCGCTCCTTTTTCCCTCTCTTGCAGACACATGCACCCACTCCCCTTTGTCACAAGCCCTCCTTACCACTTCCTCCTGCTGGCAGGTGGCTGCTCCCACGGGAAGAGGCTGCCAGTGCGGGGACGTTCCTGGTCAGCCTGCCACATCTCTGCCTATGCAAACACCCTGGTGTGGGTGTAAGCTTGCTCCTTCTATTGCAGCCAGGTTTTGGTGTCTTCAGCTGCTCTTCCATGTCCAGACCATGCTGATAAGAGCCACTGACCACCCTCATAGATGCGGTGGGCACCTCTGCATGGGCTACAGGCACATTGTCAGGGGCAGGCATTCCCCAGAAATACACCCTTAGACACTTTTTCCGAGCACAGGCTGGAAGCCTGATGTTCTCATGTGACTCCAGAGGCTGAGGCAATGGACACGTGTCTCTCTTAATCCAGCCCTGGAGACCAGCCCCACCCCAGGAGCTCAGAGCACAGCCAAGCACCCTTTGGTTTCAGGCTCCAAATCTTAGAATCATAGAATGGTTTGGGTTGGAAAGGACCTTAAAGATCATCTAGTTCCAAGCCCCCTGCCATCAGCAGGGACACCTTCCACTAGATCAGGTTGCTCAAAGCCTCATCCAGCCTGGCCTTGAACACTTCCAGGGAGGGGGCATCCACAGCTTCTCTGGGCAACCTGTTCCAGTGTCTCACCACCCTCACAGTGAAGAATCTTAGAGGAGCTCTGAGGACTGCTGTTCTGGAGCTGGTCCTTTATCGACTCGCAGGCTACCACTGATAGCGAGGGCTGCCTGCGGGGCTGGGGGTGAAGATCTCAGTCAGGCTACGCTGGACTGCAGCCTGGGTCACCAGGCCTCCTGCCAGCCAGGGCTGCAGAGGCGATGCTTGCAGAGCGCATTAGCTCTGAAGACCGTGCTCATCTCTCTCTCTCTCCATCTGCTGAAACTGGTTGGCAAAGAAGAGAAAGAATTTAGCACTGCGCAGAGTCTGGCTGTCCAGAAAGGCAAGAGGAAAAAAAAACAGATATAGAAATAAAGGGTGGTCAGTAATCATGCCTTTAATAGCTTGCAAATATATATATTTTTTAATTCCAGGCAACTAAGATGTACATTTGAGGTGTGTATCTGACATCTGAAAAAACCACGAGTCCACAATCTGTTCCGTTTCATCCCTTTTCTAAAGCACATAAATTAAAGTATCAGTCACCCCAATATACAACAGTTTTATGAAGGAAAAAAGTCTTGTTGTGTTTTGACAATTCAGTTTCAGCTGTTTATCTGCAGCCTTACCCAGAGGTTTAGCTAGAGAGCTGTCTTAAAACAAATAGGAAAACTCAGAACTTGGGCTGTCCAGAAAAATTCAATAAATTTCCACTCCCTGCTCTCAAACTCCCCTTCCTAATAAAGCATCAGAGCAACATTTTCATCTCCCGCTAGAAAATGAAAGACCCCAAAACTCTTCAGACACACCTGGGAAACACTGTCTGCACCACAGGGCTTATTCAGCTGAAAACATTAACAGTGCCATGATTTCCCCCCTTCTACAACTTCTACAACGCAGAATCTGAATTGACATCGGGATGGGGAAGGACAGAAAACGCCAGACTACAAGTAGCCTTTGGCACCTGGGGCTGCTGGGTGGCCTCCCTCCCACACCTGGCTGAGGCGCCCAAGGCGCGCTCTCCGCTTTGAGAGCACCTGCAGACACAGGGACCCCGGGACACTGAGCAGCTCAGGCTGAGGCCATTTCACCATCCCCTTGCTGAACTCATCAGCTCAACCCCACCTGGCACCGCTGGGATTTGAATCTGGGTGGGAAGATGCTGAGGACCCTCCTCTCGCGCTGGCGCTGGGGCTCGGCACTCGGCACGATTCAGCCACATAGCTCTGGCCACCACCCAGTATGATTCCCACTGAAACTGGGGACAGGCTTCTTGCTGATTTTACTGACTGCAGGAGGCTTATTAGCAATACAGCATGGGCCTCAGGGAGGAGGGTTGCTCTTGCCTTCTTCCCATTGGGGAGTACGTGGGCCCTGTGCACCTGGGGCTGCCCCTCATCGGTCTGCTGGCAGCTGGTGGGAATAGCACAAGGTAGATCATGTAGAGGAAAGGGAGGGACAGCAGAAACAGCTCATCCGACTGATGTCTTCATCCATTCCCTAGCACTGAATAGAAAACCTCTGATCTAGGGGAAAAGAAATGTTAAAGATGAAAGAACGCAAAGATAAAGCGAAAACGTGACCTTTACTGCTTTTTCATCTCCCACTGTTTCAGCTACAGAAGCCGATCTAGAAGTGCAGCCAACTCCAGAGACGAACGTGCTCTTTCACAGTCTTGCGTGTGTGCAGCACTAGAACAAAGTCACAAGTACAGGTGCAAAGGAACAACGTTACAGTCCTCAGAAGACCTACTCTGTGCACTCACCAACAGCTTGAGTTTACTGATAAAGTTAAGCAAAGAGGTTCATTCTTCTTGAGTACAAATAAAAATCTGTCAAACCAGCTTCTATTACAGCGAGATTCTAAACTGACATAAATAATTATAGTCTTGATTAAAAATAATATATTATTCTAGATTTTTGTTTGTTGGTTGGTTTTTTTTTTAGTTTTCATGTAAAACCCCTCTACTCTTAACATCTAGGAACAAAGACAAAATAAAAACCAGGCACTTGCTGTGCCTTCTCAAGCACTATTGTGGTGACACAGAGGAACTTAACGAAAGAGTAATGCCTACACTGGAAAACAAGAGGAGTTCTTCACGCCGTTGGCTTTTTCAAGTCTCGGATCTGCTTAATCAGGTAGTTCTTCTCATCAGTGAATTGCTCATCATCCGTCCTCTCTTTCTGGAAATTGCTCAGAAACTCAATTAGCTTGGGTTGGTTTTTCAACAGGATCTCCACAATGGGCTGTGTTTTGTTTGGACTGGCCACAAAAACCTAACATGCAAACAAAACCAGGCACAGCAAGACACACAGAGCGAGGGAGAGAGAGAGGAGGGAGAGAGAGGGAGATGAACATCAGTCACAATATCACCATAAGTTATTTTCTAACAAGTCAGCTGAAGGCTGGCAGGCAGATACTCTGCTGCTACACGCCTTGTCCCAAGGCAGAGAGAGAGGAGGTGCAAACATGTTGGTTCAACAGCAAACTGAGGCAAAGCTGTGCCTCTGAGCCGTACCCCTTCCCTTTAATTTTGCTCTTTGTCGATAAGAGCGTTTGACTGTAAGCCCAGCTGTTGCGAGCGAGCTGTCAGTTCTCAGCCTCTTCCACGTGCAAGACTCAAATACACAGAAATTAATTATAAGGAGAACGGAAAAGCTTTGTGTCACTATTGATACCATTTCCACACTAAACCAGGCCTAAAATTAGACTTGCCAGCTTTGTTTTGGTTTGGAAAAATATGTCAGAGGCTCCACGTCCCTCTGCCTAATCCATTCATGGGAGCGTGGAAATTTCCAGCAGCAGCAGGAGCACCGTGGTGCACCCAGCGTCGTCGCTGCCCTCATCGAGCAGAGGATGGTGGCAGTGCAGGGAGGGGAGACACAGATACTCACCTGGTACAGCCAGCCCAGTGCTGTGGGCTTATTGGTCTTCTCAAATAGTAGTTTTTAAAGGATAAATCTAACTTTGCTCCGATTTTTCCTCCTGTAATGCCTAAAGCCACAGAGTTTTCCAGCTCTGCACACAACCCCCTATGCCATGACACTGTTTCTTTAACATCTTCTCTGCCATACACACCGGCTGATGACAGGAACCTAAAGCTGGTTGTAAAGGCCAATGGTGACAAGCTCTTCCCAGAGACCTCAGGATGCCGCGGAGATGCGGGCTCTGCGGATGTCAGTCAGGAGGGGCGGACAGGGCAGGGGGCCGGCGGTGGGAACACGCGCGCAGCTCACCCCCGGCCACCCCGGGAGGAGCTCACACATCTGGCTCGCACCGAGGTTACCATGGCTGGTCAACAAAACACCACCCGAGCGCTTGTGCAACGACATAAATAACTCAAGTTATTCTCTACCCGATGAGAAGAAATTAAGGATGGACAGGACTGGAAAACGTCCAGTTTCCCTCCAAGCCTGTTCAAACCAGAACGAAAACAAACATTTGCTGACAGTACAGAATGGCATGTTGTCCAGCCCAGCACCACCACTCACCCAGCCCTGGAGCTGCTGCCTCCAGACCTGGGGCCTTTCTGTAGGTTCATTTGTCTCCACTGAGATAGCGGCCACATGAAAACCTGGGCCACGTCCAGCTGCACAGGGAGGTGCTGTGTTACATGGTGTGGAACATGCACACACTGTCCTGGGGGGCTGTGTTGCAGCCCCTCACCCCCAGAAAAAAGATCTGGTAAAGCCCTGGAGAGGATTCAGAGCAGGCCCGTTGTTGGGTTTCCTACGTCCCAGTTAGGGGACGTTACCTGAGCGACATGGGAAATGCCACACGTGGAGGGAATGGGGCTCAGCACACATCCACAGTGCCACACTAAGTACAGGAAGGTAAGACTATTTTTTTTTATTCAGTAAAGGTGAGGCAAAGCATCTACTCTTAAACCCTGGCATCCTGATGCTGTAAGAGCCCTATCCCCACCTGTGCTTTTGTCTCCTCTGGATCCCTCCTCCTCAGGTTGCTCCTAGGAGTCCCTGCTTCAAGGTACTTTTCCCTCTGCTCTGGGGAAAGAGCTGCAACTTCTGCTGTGCTGGCTGAACGCTCCCCAGCCCAGGCCTGAAGCCTTTTACAAAGTTTTCCTTGATCTAGTGGTCGCTGTGACAGTGTAATATCTACAGTTATTCACACTCCCTTTGCACAGACCTCCACGTTGCCTTTCTCTGACTACCCTGAGCCACAATCTCATTTATTTTTATGCCTACTTGCCACCTAAAACTTCTCAAGAGTAGCACCAACAGCCCCAACTCCTGAGCATCCCTTCAGAGCAGCCCCTCTCAAATCATAGCCTTCCTGCAATATACTCCAAGCACTCAAAGTGCCACACCTTACCAGGGACACATCTACTAGCGGGTCGGACAGCCAGTTCACAGCTCTCTCTACACTTGATGGACTGTCCAAAGCTGATTGTTCTGAAAGCAATATCCCTTCCCTTGCAAATAACTTCGATATGCTGCTACTGGTTCCCCATACGAGAAATAAAGGGTTTGGGAATGTAAATCACTACTGAATGTACTTTACAGCTTCCAGTCTGTGCCTCATCTGAGGAATACGAATCTTGAAATCTCATGGGTATGAATGTTTGGCTCTGGCTGAGACTGCGGCAGTTTGTGCTCGCGGCTCGAGCAGCCCCACGATGCAGCTCCCCACGTGCTGACCTACAGCCGGTCACCATGCGGATGGAGGCTGGATACCTCCAGGATTTGGACCATGATTAGCCCCTAAGTCATTTGGACAAGCTTCCTTTGAGGAAAGCAGTAAGTGAGCCTGCGGCAGGGATGAGGAAAGTAACTGTTAGAGATCTTCATTACAAGTTTTAAATTTTGGAGTTCAGTTTCCCCTTTGAGACTAGGAGAAGAAAACGATCAAGTAAACTGACAGGACTCACATTTTCAGAAAGAATCGGATTATGGCCTGACCTGAAAGTGCTGAACATCTTCCTTCAATGAGTATCAGGCCTCCTTATAACTGCAGGCTGACTCTCAAAATGAAGAAATCTAAATAATTCTTCCTGTAAAAGCTATCCAGTCTGCAAACAGAACTGGGAGTTTTTAGTGACCAGAGCAAATAATTAAAGACCTTAGTTTAATAGGAGACATCACATCCTGTTTATCTTCCTGCTCGGTTATTTATAGATTATAATCTTCCCCTTGCAAAACTGTCAAAGTGAACATTCAAAGATCATCTTGACTGCCAGTCTTGCTCAGTGTCAACAGGGACTCGTAAAGAGAGAATGTTAAAGGACCAGAAGATTCCTGAAATGTTACTCAATACTCCAGCTAAGCAAACAATCAATTCTGCTGGTATCAACCAATCAGCTCCACAAAGCCCAGGATTAGGACCACCATGAAATTTTACTTTTAAGAGAGCCCCCCACATTCAGAACTCTGTATTGTCACAGAGTTGGAGATAAATCCCTGAAAACAGAAATCATTATTAATGCCATCTGTAAAATTTCTACTAAAACTAAGTATAACTGAAGCTAAAACATTTCACAGGGAACTTTGTTTAACCTACAGCTTTATTCAAAACACGCAGAGATTGCATGTCCTAGAGCACTTCATTCAGATATATGAGAGAGATAGAGACCAAAATAAAGAGAGTACTCATATTAAAATTCCAACTCTAAAAATAGCCATTTCGGCACAGTTCCGTTTTGTGAATATGCAGAAAAGGTCTGGAATGAAAATCAACTCTGAAGCTTCAAAAGTTGCCCAAAAAGTGGAACTGTTGCTCTCCATTAAAAGTCATACTCGAGATTTCTTCAAACAAATACCAAAATCACTTGAGTAGAGAATCTGACCTTGTTTCACAGAATCACAGAATGTCAGGGATTGGAAGGGACCTTGAAAGATCATCCAGTCCAATCCCCCTGCCAGAGCAGGAACCTAAATGAGATCACACAGGAAGGCATCCAGGCGGGTTTTGAATGTCTCCAGAGAAGGAGACTCCACACCCTCCCTGGGCAGCCTGTTCCAGTGCTCCGTCACCCTCACTGTAATGAATTTCCCTCTCAAGTTTAAGCGGAACCTCCTGTGTTCCAGCTCACACCCATTGCCCCTTGTCCTATCGTTGGGCATCACTGAGAAGAGCCTGGCTCCATCCTCCTGACATTTGCCCTTAACATATTTATAAACATTAATGAGGTCACCCCTCAGTCTCCTCTTCTCCAAGCTAAAGAGACCCAGCTCCCTCAGCCTTTCCTCAGAAGGGAGATGCTCCACTCCCTTAATCATCTTGGTGGCTCTGCGCTGGACTCCCTCAAGCAGTTAATTTCCTTACCATTAATAACCAGGCATCACCACCCCTGGGACTACAGCAGAGCAAAAGTGGTCACAGAGGTTGGATACCCTGGGTTGGTTACTCTGGGGTCACACACAATCTGACTGTGTCAGAAAACTGTACACGGAAGTGCTTACGGTTCATGTTGCTTATAGTGTAATGGTTCCTATAACACTTCTTGCCCTAAAAACTCGCCAGCTAAGAAACAGAGACAACACATCTCCACAGATGTGGTTTCAGCTTCATATCAAGAGGAAACTGTCAGTATGGGCAAATCATGTGAGACCATTTGCAGAGCAAGCTGCAGGAGGTAGCTCTGTAATGTGCACAAAAGAGAATGGAAAAATGAAACTAAGGTCACAAAACACAGTGTACCCGTTCTATTTTTAGATTTAAACAGTAATATATATCTTGCTAAATGTCTGCTTAAAAACAAGAAAGTTGCATAATCCAAATTCACTGCTACCGGGTGTTCTCCTCAAAATAATCTAATTGTTCAGGTGAATCCCAAGAGAGCCTGGTATTAGCCTTTATCTGTAAATGCACAAGGTCTAAGGAATACCTGCACTGCGTTCACGTTTGTCTGAAAGATGGGGTCTCCCCCACAGGCAAACTCAAAGCAGGTTCCACTAATAACTGTCAGAAACCCATCACAGGAGCTGGAGAGCCCTTCCCAATATTTGGTCCTCCAAGTGCGCATGCTCAAGGCTGAGACCTCTCCACTGAAATCAATGCAGAGAAGACCCACTGACTCTCAAAACCTACAACTCTAGGCAATCTCATTGGATTATTTATGGAAGAGGAGGAAAGGGTTGAGCTGTGTTAGCTTTTCCTGATGATTAAATACTGGCTAATCCTCACGCATACAGTGCCTGGGACATCCAGCTTTACAAAGCAGCCACAGGTCATTAGGATGGTGCCACAAGGCAAAAGCTTCATTTTGCTCAGGCAAGAGGAAGAGAAGGAGCTGAAGCTGGGAGAAAGATGAAGCATCTCCTCAGTGGAGAATGGAAGGAGGCACTACAAGTGGGTGCTCTGTTTCACTTCAGTTTCCCACCCAAAGCATCCTGGTTGAGTGAAATGTTCTCAGAGCTTGGAGGGGTACAGGCATTTTCAGCCACAAAATGTTCCTGCAAAATATTTTTGCACTAGAGGTGCTCATAATTTTAATCTCTATTTTACAGTTTGAGTCTTCAATAATTAGAAATTGCCTCAGGAAGGTAAGAGTCATATGTCTCTTTTTGGGTCAGCTGGGGCATGGGAGTGTTGGAATCTGTATGCTTACAAAACAAGCACTTTTTTATTTCGACTGTGTCTAACTGGTGAAACATCTAAACCAGGTAATTTAAACCGAGATCTTTTGGCAGCTCAGACAGAGTAGCAAGTATTCACTTCTCAGCACACCTTTGATTTCAGATCACTGCAGTTAGTCTACTGTAATTTCAACCAGGACTGCACAGGTATTTTGCATGCACAATTTAAAAATGCAAGCACGGTTTAAAATTTATGAGATTAAAAGCTGAGGACAAGATTCCTCTCCTAGTTACATTAGCATGGAATTACTACAGCTGACAAGAGAACCAAGCTGAGGGACACTCACCCAGAAACAGGAGACAGGGACACTGCAGAACAGGGCACAAGTCAGTAGTGTTTTCCCACATTCTCTTAAAATATTTAAGGATTTCCTGTAGTAGTTCTCAAGAAGTTAGAATTCAATTTAAGAAGTGAAATCTGAGGAAAATGCTCTTCTCTGACCCACTCTAAGCTAATTCACAATGCAATTTTCTATAACATATCCTATACCTACCATGCCCACTGGGGAGAAGCTGAATTCTTCTACATCCAGCTAACCCAGATCCTCAGTGAGGACCTAAAAGGGGAACCCTGCTGCTCTCCTAGAGGAAGTTAGTGTGCTCAGGATTATGTCCACAGGGTAGCAATATTGCAAGCGGTCAAGCAAGGCTGAGCCTACAATGTCTCCTCTCTAACTGGAAATGAGATGCAACATACTGGAAAACAAAAGGAAGGGAGGAACAGGAAGGCAGAATGGGAGCAACAGCAATGCCTGACATGGGTGCACACTGGAATCCCTTCAAGTTATTTCAAATCCGTTCAAACGCCTCTTAAAATAAGCAAAACCAGCTGTTCCCGAGGCCTGGGCCGTGCCTATCGTTAATTCAGGAACAGCAACTCATGTGTTTCATACATAAAAATCTGGCATTTATTCACAGAGTGGCTAAGAGAGCCCAATCCTCTGATCCCTTCCCTCCATAGGCATCTCAAAGGCTGCAAGTGTTTGGAGCCTGACTGCTGGCTTATCTTGGAGCCACATACCTCCTGATAAGGAGGAAGAGTAGAAGTTACTCACAGTGGTTCAGCTGACTTTGGAGGAAGTCAGCAAGGGAACAGCTTACCAAGCTGCTTATATCAGGGAGGGAATTTTATTTGTAATGCTCCTTGAAGCCTTTTTTTTTTCTTTTTTAAAATGAAAAGCTTTTTGGAGAAGCTGCACATCCAAACATGCACACTGAAGATCAGAAAGCTTTTTTCCAAATCAGAAATGGCAGAAGTACAAAACTCAACAAGTCACCCTGAATTTGTGGAGGGTGATGTAACCTTTTCGCAATAGCATGCCTTTTGTCGTGATCTGGTATCTTTCTCAACCATCTTGGGGAAGGATATCCTTACAGACTCAACATTCCTCTTCTGAAAACCCTTATCCACTCTATTTACATAGTTTGAAATGAAAGTGCTCATTCCAAATTAAAAGTAGTTTTGCATAATAACAATCCAACTCACAGATGTCCCAGAGCAGAGAACTTTTTTGATGGGAAAACTGTAAACTTTTCACTTATTAACATTAATCATAATGAAAAAAGGGACACTGGTTAGGTCTGGTAATTGATTCAGACTGCATTAATGATCACTGCAAAAGGATGGAAGGATTAAACTCATTTCAAGCTCAGATTTACAAAATCATTTTAATACCTTTAAAAGCAAATTTAGAAGTGGCAGCATCATCTACTTTCAGTCTTAATGTAGAGTTTTAAGACTTTTTTTTTTTTATCTTTACCCAGAATCACATCGTAAAATTATTTAAGAGTTGGGGGAAGATATCCTGGATATGACCTGGAAGATGTGTATTTTGTTACTTGTAGCATCCACCTCATCACTATTTGAGTGACTACACTCAGCACAAACCAAAATGATGCTGTTTTAGATCTCACCTGAAGGAAGGCAAACAGGTGTCAGAGGCTGAGTGATAGAAACATTTTCAATTAACGCATTCTCAAACACTGGAAGTGACTCTAAACCCAACCTTTAGCCTTATTTTTCTGGGCTTTCTCTTGCCCACCTTGAAAAACACTTTTATGAGGAGAAGAGAAAGCCTGCCATCTCTACAGTTCATCCCAGCTCACCTTGAACACGTGGAATGCTTCAAACTGAATGTTGGGGCTTTTATCTCGCAGCAAGTTCATCATCAGCTTCAGATTTTCTGGTTTGCTGATGTATTTTGTCATGATGGCAAAGTTGTGTCGGTCCAGAATCAATTCACCCAGCAGCTATAGACAAAATTACAAAAAAACCCCAGGTTTTTTTCAGTTCACCACATTATTTTTGAATGCAAAGAAAGCAGCAATATATTTTAATGCTTGCCTAAGAGGTTTCAATGTCACTACCTTTTAAAAAGATAGTAACTAGACTTGTTATCATGCAGTGAGTTACTTAATGCCCAGTAATGCTCGTCTTCTAAATACTACAGAGAGGGGTCCCACATGGGCTGGGTGGAATAGGAGCTGGTGTGAGCCAGCTAGGACAGAAGCAAGTGCAGTGCAGTTGTCCCACAGAGACACCTTCATTTCATTTGGATGTTACATTAACATGCCTATCTGGTCCCATCTGCAGGTCATGTCAGACTTGGTGCTGTAGCAGCAAACAGCACCAGAGAAACAGAGATTATCACGTTACTCTCAAGTTCATTTTAACCTACATTCCAAACCAAAGTACAGATTTGAGGTCAGAGGGAGAATGATAGTGCTTGCTTTATAGGAACAGGCCAATGCTTCACCAGAGATCTAGGAAAGAAAAGACACAGCGAGCTCTTGTGCATTATAAGAAGAGCATCCCAAGCACTCTTTTTTGTTAGAAAGTACATGGCTGCTCTGTGGCCGTACGTGCATCGTGATGTTCTGCGTAACGTGCAGTTCAAATCTGGGGGGCAAGTGCTGAGAGACTTGACTTTACCTTCAAAGATTGCCTCTTTGTTACATAATTCTCAGAATGAAGGAGTTTTTCATAATCCTCGAAGATCTAGAGAAACAAGAAAACACCAATGCATCTGATTCATGTCCATCCTTCCTCCTCCTGGCCCTTCCCACCCCAGAGGAGCAGCGGAGGCTGCAGCAGTGCCGCTCTCTAACACTTCACTGCCATGCCAGGCCCAGCTCTCATGGCCTTTTTTCTTGGCTGGTTATCACGCAGTGAATTAATGCCCAGGAACACTCCTCCTCCAAATACTGCAGAGAGGGATACCACATATGGACTGGATGTAACGGGAGCTGGTGGGAGCCAACTAGGACAGAAGTAAGCCAGAGCCTGTACAGCCTTCTCTTACAGGAGGGTGAATCTGCTGCCAGGACACACGGGCCCGGTGTGTAACGTCCACTCACTCATATTGTGGTCATGACTTGCTTTGATTTAAGGCAATACCCCAAATGGGTGATGGTGCATACCATACTGGAGTACACCAAAAAACTACTTTTGTGAGGTGCCACCTGCCTTGAGCAGCTCATTAAAGCCATTTGCCCAATGAGGGTCACTAGGAGTTGACTGCATGCCAGCTTTTGCAGAATTGGGCCAAGGCAATCCTGTGGTCAAGAACACTGAAAGAAGGCTACGATATGTTCGAATCATAGAATCATAGAATGGTTTGGATTGGAAGGGACCTTAAAGATCATCCAGTTCCAACCCCCTGCCATCAGCAGGGACACCTTCCACTAGACCAGGTTGCTCAAAGCCTCATCCAGCCTGGCCTTAAACTCTTCCAGGGAGGGGGCATCCACAGCTTCCTTGGGCAACCTGTTCCAGTGTCCGACCACCCTCACAGTGAACCATCTACCAACCAAGCAAAAAAACCCAACACTGCTGTCCAAAAATAACCTAAAAAAATGCTTACTTCCACAATTTATACTTAAAAATTTTAAATATTAAATAAACGTAGAATAGGGACTGTTCCATTGCAGTGCTTCAGTATTAAGAGAAAGATTAGCAGAGACACTAATTTTGCTCCAGTTAAGCTGCATTTGTGACTCAGCAATAATAAGCCTGATCTTTATTTAACCTTCTTGGTAACTCTGGAATGAAAGAAATAGTCTTTGGCCTTTTCACTTTGGCAATGAAATAAAGAATATCTCAGGTAACATGAGAACATAACCTGTAGTCTAATTCCATGATCCCTATCAGTCCAATTTTAATTGATTCCAGTGGAATTTTTCTGACCCACATTTGGTTCAAAACCAAGCCAAAAACCAAAGTGAATAACGGCAGCAAACCAAGGGACTAATTGCGTTAGCATTGTAAGAAGAATACTCACACCTCAGTCCCCCAGTTAGGTACATGTAATTTCCAGTAATGCTAAAACTTCTTCCAGTAACTCTTCTCCTCTGTCCCAAAGTCTTGTAAATTACACTGGTATGGCCCTACCAGTGCTGGAATGTCACAGAACTTTAAAACTGTGCATGCTTTTTTCCCCATGATCTGTTTACCTACAAAGTTGACAGTTCTGTTCACATATGAGGAGACATGATGCCTGCAGACAAGAATAAAACTTGCTTTTAAATGACGAGTTCTCCTGAAACCTTGGTGCATGTCCCCGCGTGTGTGCAGAGGGGGCACTTGTATTTCAAATGCCATGTGAAGATTCTGCTTTAATAAAAGCAATGTTTAGTTTCACAGTCCTATGTAACTATTTTATGTGGAGCCTGAAATCTTTTGCTATTGAAAATGCACTTTTTCCAGCTAAGCACAAGCAATTTTTTAAAAAATTCTGCTATCATTTATACTTACCACATCATAATTTTGTTCCAGAAATTCTGCTACCAACAACTTGTGTCGCGTTAACAGGTCCTGAGAAAGAGCAGAGAAAGGTTACCTGAGAGAGTGTGCTCATTTGATTGTCCCTTTATTCTCAAAAGTATTTTAGTATTTTTCACCAGATCATCATTCAGAAGGCATTTCCAACATTATTTCGATAGACAGAAAGCACTTAAAACCAAAACTGCATTGTACATTAACTAGGATTTTAAGGAGAATTCAGTGAATACTAACAGAATCAATATAAAACTATTCTAAAACTTCCTTTATATTCCTTTTCCCTCCGACCTTTTCTTATGGCCATTGTGCACAGTATTTAAAATAAACTGGGGTAAGGGAAAGAAAGAAGGTAAATTAACCCTTTATGAGTGATCAGCTCTAGCCCCATAGCCATGAGTGATCTACATGCTACCCCACAGCTGGAAGATTATGTTAAGTTTGATCAACTGCTATTGCTCATCTCCAATAAATATAACAAGGAAGACTCAAATTCAACCACTGTACATATACATTTATTTATCTAAAGCCTAAAAGTTAGACTCCAATCTAAGACAGCCATCCAGGCTCCCTCCACAGCCACTCCCTCCCCAGAAAGGGGTCTTGGGTAGGAGGGATGTATCCCTTCTGCAGCCCTTTTTCTGCCCAAGGTGGGCTTACTGACACAAGCAGCAGCAGACCTGTTAGACAGCTGGATGGGATGCCTCCCATGCTGAAAGGCCAACTAGTTCCAGTTTAAATTAAAGCAACCTCTCCCACAGAATGGGAATGCTGGTGTTCAGCGACAGAGGTGCAAATGTTCAGCTCCAGAAGAAATCAAGTAATCAAGTCTCTACTGGATGAACTGCTTATGAAATGAAGTGGCTAGTTTGAGGCATTTAAGTTTAATTTTTATCTTACTGCCTCCTTTAAAACATAACTCTGATTGCAATAAATGCCTGATGAAGTCCATTCCAGTCGATATTTTTTTTTTGCAAATCAGTTGCTATCTTTTTCATCATCTTTTCCTTGATTTCCTTCCCCACAGTCAAAGACTGAGAAGCAGACACACAAATGCATCCTCTACAGAATCACAAATAAATCCTTTACATACTAATCCCTTAATTTATTTTTACCATCAATTATAAGAGGAAAGCAGAGTGTTGTAAAATTCAGTACATCTTTTTAATATATTCCTTTATTTAGCAGGACTGCAATGATAGCAGTTTAAAAGGCTGAGTGCAACAAACATGAGTCACCAGCTTTTACAGAGGGCAGTTGGGAGGCAATAGGGGGAACAAATGGAATATAATAAAAAATGAATTTTTCATATAAAATCACAAGAGAGCATGGAGCAGCAGTATTTAATCAACTGCGGCTGGTCCCTTCCACAGCCAATTGTATATCAAAATACAAGCTACTTTCCTCTGCATTTTTAGCAGCTCTGTTTCCTCTCTGCAGTGCACCTGGTTGAATTTAATTAAGAAGTACATCTTCAAATCATAAAAAATTCCAATACTTCTCTAATATAAATATCCTCAGACTTTAATGCACATTTGATTAAGTTCTCCTCTGCTTCATAGACTATCCAAGACTGTCAGCTCTGAACCAGACACCCTGGTGGCAACGCTACAACCCCAACACAGGGGAAACAGAACCAAAAACACGAGTTCAGTAATCCAGTCAGTGAGCAGTCATAGCACTTATTTTTACGGTAGAAATTAAGTAGCTCCATATTTCATGATTCAGTTGCTTCTACATCACTTCTTGCTGTTCGAGTTATTCAGAGCAACAGACAAAGAGGAGATGAGATGAATAGCTGGTTTATTTCCAGAACTGACCGTGTATCAGGTCAGGTAATTTAAAATAAGAGGTATTTTTTTAAAATGCAGTTTATAGATTTTCCCCAAGCATTTTAAAAGGTGATTTCTGCCCTGCGTCCAAGCACGAACTGTCCTCACACTCTTCTCTTTCCAGTGCACGTGAGGATGTAGAATCCTATTTTTAAATCCAGCTAAAAATACACTGAGATCACAGGGGACAGAAGTTAAGTTCCACAGCTGTAGATCCATGAACAACATCAATGCCTCTTTTCTTGGGAGGGTCACAGCAGCCTGTGGTCCTTGCCACAGAGTAACTGACCCTTGTCTCCATCATGCTCCCTGGCTGAGGTGAAGACTGTCCATCACCCACCACACACTCTGCTGTCCTGCTCAAAGCAGGACCTGGGCAAAAGATGCAGATCTCTTCTGCCAAGCTGGGAACAGAGTCCAGGAGCACTTTTTCTGACTAGGGACAAACACTCTTGGTAGCACAGAGTAAAATGCCAGAGACAGAGGATTTAAATATCTCAGTTGCATTTTATACAGTCCTACACATGTACTTTTACTTCTCTGTGTTTCTGTTATGAAAGTTTCCACTTTCATAACATTTACCTAATGAACACCAGGCCACTGCAACTTAAAATAACTGAAAGATGCTGCTATTGATTAACAGGTTGTTTGATTTGGTAATCCTGCTCAATTCATTCCTGAAGAATGCAACATTTTCACCATTATGCAGATCTCTACCCCATTCAGTAGGTTAGTAAAAACCCATTTAATTGCTGAACTGAACTCTATCTAACATTCCTTACAGTTATTCCTAAGGTCTATCTAATCATGTTTCTAATTAGCTTTGAAAGGAAAGAATGAACAACTTGTTTCCATGACAGCAAGGAATGATAAAGGAAAAAAAAAGTTATGTCTATATTTAGAAGAGCCTTTACCTGAAAAGAATTTTTCCCAGCTTTCTTAAATTATTTTTCATAAATAAATAAATCTTCCCTGTACTTTAAGCTCATAGACACCAAATTTTTCTCAAAGACTATACTGGCACCTTGCAGGAAAGATGATGGTCACCTACAAACTCCAAGAAATTCGGCAAGCTTCACTCAACTTCATTTTTAATACAACACAGACTCTATACAGAGTCTATGCAGGTGCTTTCACCAACTTAGCTCGTAGCAGTATGGCCCTTACAGGGAACCACGGGTCACAAAAGTAAGCATACAATAAGTTGTAAAATAATCAGTGGGCATGGCATTAGTCTGAACTTCACTGTAAAACAGAATGATCAGCAAAAATTAGAGGATTATAAAAGTGAACTTTAAATTATTCCTTCTATTTACTGGTTGTGGTCATGATGGTTAGTGGTTTTGTGCCTGGGGAAAGGCAGGGGGAAAAAAAGGTTATGCATTTTACAAGAACTGTACATGATACATTATTAATTTGAGTTTTAACGGTTGGATAAAAGACCTTGGGTTATCAAGATGAAGAACATTAGTGAAATGTAAATCTGTATTGAATTAAAGATTCTTTGCAGACTTGATCACTGTTGTGAATCCTGCTACAAACAGACCAAGGATTAATTATATCCTTTACTGAACAATAAAAAAGTTTAAAGGCAACGCAACAGTCAGTGATAACTACTGATGGAGTGCCATTTCTAACACAACACTATGATGCAGGTATCATGGAATTTACCTTGAATGTAGCAAAGGCATCAGAAGCTATATCAAACGTTGACAACTCCACATATTTAAAAAAGTCTCTGAACTGTTCCGAAAAAAGTATGATTTTGGCCAAGGGTTCATGCCGGATACACTCTCTCAGCATAATTCCGCAGCGTAAGGCAATATTTGGGGATTCATATCTGAAGAATGAAAAGAAACAGAAAAGATCAAAACCTAGAAGAACACAGATAAACGGGCATTTTTCTAGCAATGGGGATCTTTGTAGCGTAGGGAAGGCGTGTGCCAGAGGGGACAGAACACAGGGACGGCAGGTCCCAGCCACAGCACGGTGCCCAGCTTCAGGACCTCAGACCCAAGCTAAGGAGCAGACACACAGATAAGGCTGCCAGCGATTTCCACCGCAGACCTTTGCCTCTGCAAGCCAAAACACATCTTGGTGTAAATGCTCATTATGTCTCCTCTCTGCAGAAAGACTGCGGGGAACACATCGTGTTTCAGCAGAGCTCCTTCAGCCTTTTGGATTGATGAGAAAGCAAAGCCCATACAATATAACAATCTCCCTTTTCAGATTTAATTCTGAGCTCCTCAGTTTATCCAAGAAAAATATAACACCTCACAACCATCCAACAGTGCCCACTCTCCTAGCAAACATCGCTCTAGAATATTAATATCTACCAAGGAAGGTAGGAAGAGTCTATCCAGGCAGTCTACACAGGATTAAGCATTCTGTAGCTGTGAAGATCTTTTTTGCAATTTAGGAGGAATTCTGCTCAATCCCTCCTCTGCAGAGGCTACAACTTTGTTCAGGAGACAAGCATTCGTTCCTCAGGTTACAATCCTGTTATGGCAACAGCCAGGAGCCAGCATGCTTCTTGATCTTCAAAGGGGAGGGAGGGAGGGGTAATTCAGACCATCTTGTATTTCTATAAAAGTCTTGATTTCTTTATATCTGAAATTAATCTGAAACAAAACTGTTAGAAACACTTTTTTTTTTTTTAAAGGGGATGAAATCCGACAGTCAGGAAGGACTTAGAATGAACTTCTTCCAGCAATCTTCAGTCATGTGAAAGTGACGAAGTCCCAGGGGACAGAAAGCACGCTCTGTTTCAATAAGCTGGTTATACTATATCAGAACTGTGTATTATCACCCAAAGCTTATCAGCATCATTTTTCCTCCACACAATTAATTCCTATCACTAGGCCAAAAAAGGAAAAAAAAAAGAAAAACAAAATGCCATCTGTGCTCTAAGTGAGTGGGCCCTCAAATTTACCACCAGCTTGCAATTTAAAAGAATGGTGGTGTTTTGCGAGCATACCAGAGCTGCATACTTCAACCTGATGTCAACAATAGTTGGCTTAATGAAAAATGAACTATTATTCCAAACAGGCAAATTAAACTTCCCACCCTCAAGGAAATGCAGGCACTCAAGCCCCTATTTGTTTCCTTTTGGGAAACATTTGCACATGTGAATTTGTAAGTCTTTAGACAATGGAGATTCGCTGATGTCTTCCGTTGAGGCGTACCTCTCCTTGACTCCATTAACAGGAATACTAATTTTCAAGCAAAAAGAGGTGGAGTTGCTCCTAGGAGTGCAGCCAGGAAAATATTTAATAGTTGGCTAAGGAATATTTTGGTTGGAATAAAAGCAAATTACATTGTTTCCAGCACAATAACTTTTTAAAACATAAGTATCAACAGAATCATTCTTAGTCAAATGCTCCATTATCTGGAAGTGGGCTATGGACCTTTGGCTGTTCACAGAAGCAAGGGAAGTTGGGTTTGGCTCCTGGAATATGCCTGGGAGAAGTTTACTGGCTGCCCAGTCATAACTGGCATGTTTTCTGCACCCACACTTACATGCAAAGCCATCAGGCAGGAATGATAGAAATGCATGAAACACATTTTGAAAAAATCACTTCTAATGAGCAATTAGTGCTCTGTGCTCATGTCCTCCTGCAGCAGGAAAAAACAGTGAGCTCTTCTGTTTGGATGAACTTATAACCAAAAGAAACCCCCATATTCTGACTGGGGGCAAGCAGGAAAGGAAATAATGGACTTGAAATATTTCAAACCACTGCCTGTGGAGGCTGAAAGAGGCAAGACTGAGAGCAGAGATGCATCTCAGCGCAAAGGAAATCCTACTTGTGTGGCTAGTGCAGAAGACGGTACAAGGTAAGGAGCACAGGCAGGAGATTAGGAAGGCACTGAGCCTGGGAGACACAAGGTCTTGACAAACAGCTATATTCTGATCTGATTTTACACTAACTTCTATAGCTTGAGTTTATCCTTGGATAAACTCAAGGGGAATTCTGCAACTTTAGTCAATATACCACTCAAGCTTTAACTGCACTATGATATGAAGAGATCATCACAAAAGATTGGAGCAGTGACTGAGTACATTAGTTAGCATGTGGCATGATACTTATTCACAAAGGAGCTTATACAGTTGTCACTTGTGAGAAACAATGGAAGTGCCACAAACTTCAAGTCCTCTACAGTCATGGCACTAGAGGGAAAATATTTTAGATTACAAAGGAACAAAGTTATTTCTGGGCTCATGCAATATGCTGCCACCATAGAAAAAATTTGTTCCAAATATATCCAGTACTCTATATACACCAAACACTGTATTCATCTGAAATCCTACTCATACACAAAGCCTGCACACACAGAAAATAAGACACTACTAAAGCAAGTCCTCATGCAGCAGGAAGGTCAATTAATCTACAAAAAAAAAAAAGAAAAAAAAAAGTAGTGAACTATGTGCTGTATGTTTTTCTGAAGCTGAGAAGCTGGAAGGAAGTAGTCAACAAGTAAAACGAAGCCTAAAAGGTAAGAACAGTTATCTCAAGCTGGCAGTGCTGCTGGAGTATTAGGCAGGAAACACTGGGAGGGAGCTCTGATTCAGGATCCTTCCCACTCAACAGAGCTCACATTATGCAATGAAAAAGCAACCTTTTGTTGATGCTGTTGGGAACTGACTGTCAGGGGGCAGAGGAAATTTTGCATCCAATACAAGTAAAAACAATGACCAGTCTTCACAATAGTCCTAGGCTGTTTATTTTACAGTCATGGTAGAAATAGTTTATTTTTTTTCTCACCAAATAATGTCATATAACAAACACTGAATGGTCCAAGCCAGCCAAATCCACTTTCTTTTAAGCAGATTTTGATTTCATATATTTCATTTAGCATTAAATAAATATGAAAATGTGGCCTCAAGTCATGTTTTCAAGTGGTGGTGTCTCACATGAAGTGTGTGTTTCCCAGTCTCACAGCTGGTTGCACACAGGCACCGCACACTGCCTGCATGCAGCGAGCTGGGTGTTCAGGGCCCTGCCCTTGCTGTGGGCACGTATTTTAAGTATCGTTTTTAGACAGTCCCAGCAGCAGAGCATAGGCAGGTAAGGCAGCATCATGTCTGACATCGTTACACTGTTCTGCAGCAGCTGCTCAGACACCATCAGGGCTGGACAGGACTGTCTTCTTCACTATGCTGGTGAATTCAACAGCACTTATCTAACAAGAAAATCCAGAAATGGCAATTCTGATACAGTGCAGTGCTGTGGAGAGATAGTCAAGAAATCAAGAACAAGGAGCCTGAGGACCAGACTAACACAGACACACTGCTGCATGCAGCAGCAATCTCCAAAAAGGCACATAAGTGATGCCATTTAAATACATCCACTGGCTCAGGTCACCTACCGTAAAATGCTGGTCAGCAGCACATAAGCATAACATGAAATCTTTACTATCATCTTTATATTCTTGGTTTTACAGATGCTGAAGAATATCTGGGATATGATCCAAAATTTTTTTTTTAGCTTTAAATAAAGCCCAGACATAAGATAGTGATAAATGTGCAACGTGCAAAAACAAAATGAGTGAAAAATCAAAAAAGCAAAAGACAAAGAAAAGGGAAGAAAATGATTGTATCTGTGGATGAAATTGAAAACAGCTGTACAACTTAATGATGACTGAGAGAATTATCATCACCGTTCTGAAATTACTAGTTTGAGGTTTATATAAATGGTGAATTTTAATGAACAAATGAAACCAAAATCCATGTAACTAGCTTCCTGGTTTCCTTTCTGAGGAAGCTGGCGTTTAGTAACACAAAACAAGCCAAGAGTTTCAAAATTAAATCTAAATCACAACAAATCTCTCTACTTGTAAGAGCAAGACCGAGCTCAGCCCAGGCACCTGCCTGGCCTCCCCACCGCCCTGCCTGCGAGGAAGGCAGCAGGTCCACACCTCCTCCTATCACAGCAACCAAGAAAGAGCTTTGCCACCACATTCAACCACAAGCTCACAGTTCTTGAAATCCTTGGTACTAAAACTAGTTCTCTTGGTTATTTTTTTCCCTACTCAGCTGTACTGGAATGTGACCAACTTTGAAGGAAATAACTATTTTAGAGGACTCCTGTGCATATTCCTCTCCTGGCTCGGGCCTGCTCCTGGGAGAGGGGAGCAGCTGGCTGAGGGGAATTTTACCCTTGGGGCTGCAGCCTTGTCATACAGAAATCTTAGATGGTGATTAATTATTTTCCTAACTCTGTCTGCGGAGCAAATGGTAAAAATGCAAATCTTCAACCTCAAGATCAAGAAAGACACTTAAAAAAATTCATTGTCTTAAGAACTATTAGTTTAAAAGGCTTGAATGGCTGTTACTAATGTGACCATACAACTACTATGAGTGTCCACATTGTTTCATACTGATCAGCTAATAAATGCACTTATTTCTACATCAGTTGTTTAATCCCAATCACATATATTCTCCTTTCCTTAGGGAAAAATAAACAAAATCCTAAAGCCAAAAGAAAACTGGACAGAAAACAGTAGACTTCAAGGGCTGGAAAAGCAAAGCTTCTTGATGAACAGAAGGTGCTTTTAGTCAAGAGTAAAGGGGACAGAAACCTCAAGAGTTTTAGGCCAACACTTGTGCATTCCTGAATGTAACTGCAGCTGATGTCCTCTCCACACAGCAGTCTACTTCCCCTCCTTGGCCAAATTACCTTGGGAACCACTGGGTTAGAGCTGAGCACTGACTCCCTCAAAGATTAAAAGACAAAAAAACCCATTAATGCTGGAAGTTGTGGAGCTCATTACAGAATTAAGTTAAAGTTCACATGTGGTTACAAGCACTGGAGAAGTCTGTCCCACAGACACAACTGTTCTTTTTATGTGTTTCTGCTTCTCTCTGTTCTACCACACAGTGGTCCAGTTTGATTCCAGTTATTTACAGACACCACTATAGGTCACTCCTGCAATGCAAAAAGTTCTAAATGAAATTCAGCAGTCATCAACAATGCTACAACAAGAATTTAGGGGAAGAACTTAACCACACATCACGTGGGGAGCAGTCGAAAACAATCGGCACGTAATTATTCCAACATGAAGTTTGGTGAACAAATAACAGCCAAGTAAAATAATCCAGTCATTAAAAACTATAAAGTAGAAAGTCATTATGAAAGAAAGAAAATAAGAAATCTGGAACGAAATCTAAAAATTATTTTCTTTTTTTTTTAACTAAAAGTGAGAAAGTAGATCAACTGCAATGCCAGCATGTTCCAGGCAACGCTCTTTAAGGAAAATTAAATTAAAGCACCTACCCTTTCAGAAGCATGAACAGGATATGTGGATGGGCACTAATGTATTCCACAGTAGGGCTGCGAGTGCCAATTTGTCTTCTCAAGATGTTGTTAAATATCTGGGAAACGTCCTTTTTGCCCTGTTAAAGCAGCAAAATATATCTTCAACTCAAAAAACATTAACAAATGACCATTTACTATAAACTCTATTTCAAGTACAAAATGAAATTGAAAGCAAAACAAGTCAGTCTCTTTTTTGGGCTCTCCACAGTCCCACCACCTCATACTTGCTGTTTCTTTAATGCCACAAGAAGCCTTCCTCCATCAGGTGGCTCTGAAGATTACCAATACCCCCACTCCCATTTGCAGTTCTCTCTTTCTAAATGAAGATGTGCATCCTCATTACTCTGCCAAGGAAATCCCTGGCTACCTTAAATAGCAACACTGAAGTACCAAAAAACCAAGCCACCACCTTGAGCCAGACATGGTTTTGCAGCGTGTACTGTTGCTCCTACAGACTCCAAGGTTAAGTTGTCAAGCTAGTACCAAGTACATCACCCCACAGCCTAGACTTACAGAGGTAAAGCTTTTCATTATTCAAATGCAATCAGCACCAAGTGGGACTGCATTTTTGAAAATCAGAGTTAAATTTAAAACTCTGTCCATTATATCACCATGAAGAATGAAATAATTACTACTGATAAAATGGCTGCACCATATACATGTCTCTGCTTCAGACACAACTAAGATGGGAAGGACCCTTTGTCCTAATTTTCTCTGATATACATACATCTGCACAACCATGTTTTGTCTTTAAGTGCTTGCCGGTGCACACAGCTTTTCAGAAGGTCCTTCCAAATTATGTTCTATTCAACAATAGGGTTTGCCAATACATCTTGCATTAGAAATCCTCTTCCTCCCACACAGCTTTCTCCCCTGGCCACAGGAGACAAATAGATGTGTGAAATTAATGGAGGGGGGAGGCCGCTGCAGTAATGACCAGTAACCAAGGCATTGAGTCAACAGTGGGTCACTATGCACAGGGTAAGCTAAAGCAAAAGGTTACTTATAATCTGTACGTGTTCATTGATCTGTCCCGAGAGGACAAACATTCCTTGGCAGAGAACTTATTGAACGTTTGAAGCCAAGGAGCAGAGAGTTTCACACAGAGGGAAATTCCCTGGTTTCACCTCTACAAATAAATCACTGCTGAGAAACACAAAATACTCTGCTTTCCTACTCATTCCAACCCAGCTGGCTTGGAGACTCGGGGACTCAGGGAATTAAATAGGAGAATCAAATCAGAGCAGGCCAGTCCATCTGCCTTTGTCTGCAACACTTTTGACCCTTGGACATCCTCTTAATTAGGCTAATTCTTTATAAAGTCATCCCATTCTCCCCTATTATTACAACACCCGTAGCGTATGTCTGGAATGCTGTGATCCCCAATGGCTTCAGCAGTTACTCCAAGGCGAAAACAATCCAGACAGAGAAGAGCTGTTGAAAGGGCGAGGTGAAAATGGCCAAAAATTAAGCGATCCTCTCTGCTATGCCAAATTTTACATCAGTTACTTAAAATTAGGTGCACTGCAGCATTATATCCAATAGCAGAGAAGATATATACATCTATCTATATGTATCTCAGAGAGGAGATATCTATATATTTCAAATTATATCACATTTTCTAGGGACCAGCAATGGTGAAAGCCAGAGAAGTTGGTCTCTCTGGGTTCTCCTGGAGGGAATAGAGGCAGATAGAAGGGAGCAAAGGCAGACTTCCCTCACCACCAGATATCTATAAAAATTGTAGGAATACTTTTGCAACACTTCTTACTTGGATCTGCTATTCAGTTTTTCCTTGTAATGAAGTACATATGGCTACTGAAGAGAAGATAAGGCAGCATGGAGAGAAAGTGGCTAGACAAGAACGAAAGAAGTTCAAAGGATGCCATTACATAAATAAATAAATTGCATGATACCTATACCATAATTTAGGTCCTGTTTCAAGACAAAGTAAGGGAAAGCTTCTAACATCACCAGTCCTGGGCTTGTGGTTATTTACTGCTTCTTTTAGTGGCTTTACAACTTGTGAACCTTTAGGCTTACAGGCAGTTAGTAACATCTGGGTTTTTTAGGTGACTTTCTCTGTATGCACACTTCCCTCAGTTCTTCAAAGTTCAATAATAAACTTCATATTTTAAATTTCAAAAAATCCAGTCTGATCTTGATTCTGGGCTCCTGCCCAAAACCAACTTTAGAGCTTCATAACAACATCATCACCAAAATTATATCTTGTTTCTTGAGTCACAGAAACAATAAACCTGTGTTTTCTATAGATGTGTGATGGACATATGCAAAGACATGACAGTCTCCCCTACACGCACGCCTGCCCCCAGCCACATGGGCTGTAAGTGTACTGGCAGATGAAACACAAACGAGACAGGACTCGAGTCTCTGCTTCCGCCTTTTGCTCTGTGGGGGCATTAACTCTGGTCTCACTTGTCTGAATAGCCATCAAGTTTCACGAAGTCTTTGAAAATACATCTTCAAAAGTTAAGTACAGCTGTGTAAACCTGGGATCAAAGTGGGCAGCAGGGTTGGTGAGGAGACAGGGAGTCATGACAAAATGAAGTAACCTACATAAACTTTATTCCCTTCAGAAATCAAACTTTCAAGTGATTTGTGATTTTGCATTCTACCATTATATACAGATAAAAAAATTAATTTGTGTGTTATAAAGTGATGAAATTGCTTGTTCAACAAAGAAACCTAAATGCCAACTGTGGACACTAATACAACAAAATGAAAGCAATAAGCTGATAAACTGAAAAAGTCAAAGCAGCACATGCTCTTACCATCCTCTTGTTGAAGCAATAAGCTGATAAACTGAAAAAGTCAATGGGGATATGAAGATAAAGCAGCACATGCTCTTACCATCCTCTTGTTCAATGACAATTAGTTTCTCATGTTTTGATAAAAAGAGTATGTATAACAGTTTTGCTAAAAGATTTTAAAGGTTTTATTATGGAAAAATCTATTTTGCAATAAAAATAATTAGAACTGTTTGTAATAACAGTAATTCAGCAACAGATTTGATATTTCATTCACTGCTTGCATTTGAAGACTGTGGGTTCAATATGTCCAGACAGAATTTTCTGTCTGACAGATGTAATAGAGATTGTCAGGCAACTAAAATAATGCAGCAATTTCCCTTCTGTGGTGTATTTGCTAACAGGATCTTCTCCTCCCCTGTCTTAGTTTTTCTTAAAAACAAATAAATTACTGGATTTTTAAGGTTTTGAGTTGTTAGGTTTTTTTGGAATTAAGACATTTAACAGTAACTGGAGGTGTCAGGGAGAAGACAAATGAAAGGATCTCAATAAATTCTAGCATAACAAAAAAATCTCCTGAATTTAAGACCTGAGGAAGAGTCAGAGAACTACACTAATAACACTTTCAAAAATTAATAAAAAATAAATAAATCAATCCCTTGAATCCTGGCTTTACTGGTGTGGAGGGAAAAGGGGGGAAAAGAAAACATAAATCTCCCAGCATTCCTCCCTTTCCTTCATTTACAAAATGGAAAGAAAAGTAAGCCACAACAAATGATTTGAGTATCATAAAAAATCGTCCACAAGAAAGTAACTCCCACAAAAGGTGTCTCTGAGAGCATCAGATGATTTTTCAGGTCAGCAGCTGCCCTGCCCTACACATTGTGTACTGCTCCTGCTTCAGACCTTGGCAGCAGAGGTTTGGTTCCTGGGAAATGGGGATTTCTTACTGCTCAGAGATGCTTGGACACTTGTGCTTGGGAGCTGTAGAAATTGCAGAACTCCTAACAGCAGTCCCTGGGGACCACTGTCCCTGCTGAGTGCAGAACACAGGAATACTATAATGACCTGCCAGTGACGAAGTTTATTCCCAGACCTTGACAGTCAAAGGTCAATTAAAAAGTTTTATATTTATCCTGAATTACTGCAATCTTTTCTACCATAACTCTTCTTCTCCTTAGTTATAAATAAGTTTAGTTGTCTCAGTAGATGTCTACTAAGTTCTTGGCTTTTAAGAAGAAAACTGTCAAAGAGTTCCATAGAATATATATATTTTTTTCCCCATATTAACCTTTCTGCTGGCCCACTGTAGGAGAAGATCAGGTTCGGGACCACCTAAGGAACGTGAAGGTACACAAGTCCACGGGACCTGATGGGATGCCTCTGTGGGTCCTGAACTGGCAAATGAAGTTGCAAAGCCATGATCCATCATATT